CAGCAGATAAGGAGCCTCCTGTCAGCACTCTGAGTTTCAGGGCTAAGTCTGCACTTTCCAAACCTGAGACCAGAAGGGCAAAGGTCATATTTACTGTACTCACGAGAGATAAAATTCAACAGCTAAACACTCCCTTTTTGTGGCAGGAGGATTTTTGACTGCACAGGAATTCACACAAAGGAAATGCAGTTCTCCAAGGAAAGGGACCATTTCTCCTTGGAGAAGCATTGTCTGCACACAAGAAACAAGCATAGCTTGACATTTGAGAAGGGGAAAGGGCTGTTTCTAGATGCAACAAAGTTGATAATTAATGTCCAATGCCAAGAGCTGAATGCTGAGCCATATTATAAGTTTTAAATGCACATGAAACTAAATGACCTTCTGGTTAAAACCAATTTACATGGTACCAGAGATAACCCTTTACAGCTGAAGATCTACATTTGATGAAGCCAAAACTAGGTCAGATGCTGAGCAGTGTAAAAAGAGAGAAAAAGTGAGAAGTGCCTACCTTTGTACCAACTGTTATATCTTGGACAATGCTGTAGAAAAAAGAAAGAAAAGGATTAAAAAAGTTAGATAGGTTTGCCACAAAAATCCAGCATAGTTTACAGTAGTAAGAAAAAAAGCAAGTCAAAGTGCACAGTTGTCGTTGCAGGTGAGCCAAGGACAGTTCATACAAAGGAATTATTAGATGGTGATGGTGGAGACCCAAGACCCAGCAGTGCCAGAGAACTGCAGCTCTCCCACTCCCTACGCAGCGCCTGCTCCTCCTGCCAGGGCAGGGGAGTGACCCCAGCCCAGCCTGGGGCAGGAGAGACAGCCCCGACTGACTGCACGAGGGGCAGCGCCAGGAGAGCTCCATCCCACACCCTTCTGCAGCCACTGACCCCCTGACCCACACTGCTGCCCAGGCTGTGTCCTGAGGCCAAGGTGGATCCACAGCAGGGCCCGAGCAGCACAGCACCCACAGCTCCCGGGAACACCCCTGCACAGCATTTCTCCATCCATTCCAGTAAAAAACTCTCATTAAACTCTGCCTTCAGCCTCCCAAAATGAGACTCTCACTAACCAAGATGGAACAGGCCAGCTCCTGCCAGCAGTGACTGTACACCACCACACACACCTCCTCAGAGCGAAGTCTCCCACCAACCCCTGGCTTGCCTACAGCCTGGCACACTAGACATGTGTGATCTTCCAGAGCCTCACAGCACCTCACCTCGCACTGCAGATTGCATCTTTTCTTAGTCAACTCCAACCTGTGCAACAGCAGGGCAGAAAAGGCCATTCTGGACCGACACGTACACAGCACTGCCTGGTCCAACACCTCTTCCCAGAGCTCAGGACCAGCAGCGGTCAAGTGACCAACTGCTGTGGCCCCACGGACAAGGAGACACAGGGCAGGCAGCATGAGAGCTGAAGTGCTCGAGAACAACTCCACACGACGACTGAATCGAGAGAACTCACATTTCCTAGTCCTTCCCTCCCTCCTGCAACACTTCCTAATTTCGGAGGGAATGAGATCCGGCTGGTGTCCCAGCTCCAGGGCAGCCCCAGCCAGCTCAGCTCCTGCACTTCCTCCTCCCCGACCTGCCGTGTCATCACAGCCCAGCGGAACCACAGCCCGAGTGCTCCGGGTCTCCAGGGCAGCTCCCGGGCCGGGCTGCGTGTGGGAGCCGCCCCCACCCTGGGGTCT